TTGAACTTATGGTTGTGGGATGAGAAGCATCATGGATTCTTATCTAAGATGTAGGCAATCCTAATGAAATTTTGATGTCTAAGAATAAATAATTAAGTTTATCAGTGATCATTTCAATTATGTTAGTGGATACAAGGAAGAGTTTGCTTTGCTGCAAAACAAGGAGGAATAATCTTGGTAAACATGCTGGAAAAGAAACCCCAGATATGGCAAATAGCATAGTGTGGTACCTTAGAGCTAGAAATGTATGTACAGTATGAATGGATTTGCTTGGAACAATTGGGCTAAACAAATAATTATTAATACATGGTTAATACAAATGCTATTAATAATTTCCTCAGCATTTGGTTTATCTTGCAGGAATCTAGACAATCCACTTTCTAGTCTCACTTGAAGCTCTGAGTTTCTGTGTAGCTAAGCCATGCATAGAAGCATGTTAGGAAACTTGGGATAAACATTTTGCTGTTTAGCAAAAAGGTAAAATAATCCATGTTTTGCATCTGTTCTGTGAATGATGTGTACCACTGTAGGGTCAGTAGTTGGACCATTTCTGATACCGCTTAATTGTGGGCTTTCATCCAGAAAGTAAATGCTATCTGTTTAAATTTTGTTGAGTTTTTTTTCCAGTGTGACAAAAAAATGCCTGAGCAAATCAACTTAAAGGTGGGAAATTTTATTTTGACTCGCTCTCTCAGAGGTTCCGTGACTCTGTGGCAACGAGACTGTGATGAGAGAAAACACCGCGGTGGTGGGAGTGAGCACACAACAAAGGGGTGGTAGGGAAGCAAAGACAGAACAAATGCAAGAGGTTCAAAGGCACACCAGTGACCAGCTTCCTCCAATCAAGCCCTCACCCTAAACTTTGTGCTGGGACCAAGCCTTCAACATAGGAGCCTCATGATGGGGCACTTCGTATTCAAACCATAACAGCACCCAAATGTGTACAGTAAATTTGTTCTCAATGAATATGTGTTAGATGTTTTTTGAACTTTATTATTTCAAATACTTGCACTTTCTAATTCTTAATAAGCTCTTGAATCACAAGTATCTACTACATTAGTACTTTATATCTAGTACAATATTAAAAACTGTAGCTTGAATTCCTTCTGGGAGGCCCAAACGGCATCCAGCTCCCTCTTCTGTTGGTCTTTATGACAAACTGAGGTTCAGTTTTGCCAAACTGCTGTCTGGGAAACCAGTGAGTTTACTGGGCTTACTTCCAGAGAAATGGGTGAAGGTTTCCTTACAGGAGTGTGGGTGTTCCCTTCCTAAGGCTGCACTGGAAAGTCTCTATCCAGGTATGGATCATGGCTTCTCCACAGCTGCACAAAATGGTGAGAGACCCTTCCCATGGCTACCTCAGCTCATATACCCAGAGCCCCTCTCCCTTGTGTAACTAAAGCTGACTGGTTGGTCTTAGGCAAGCAAGTGCAGTCATGCTTGGAAAGATGGCATCTGTCCATGGTATGCCTGTTGGAAGATAGTTCTGTGCAACAGAAACTCTGAGAAGCTTACAGAAATGGTGAGATTTAAATAAATTATGAAACTGTAGAATACCTGAAGAAACAACTATTCAAAATACTTAGATTCATGTTATAAACTATAATTACCAAAAAAATTTACACAAGGGAGGGAATAAGATGGTCTGTATCAAAAGCAAAGCAACAAAATCATATTTTATCCTTAGTTTTTATGTTTGCCACTGTACACAGCAGTTATTCAATAAAGTTTGTTAAAATGAAGCATGTGCTGTTAATATATATCCTTGATTACTTGGGAGGCTGAGCCAAGAAGATTCAATGCTCAAGGCCTGCCTTGGCAATTTAATGAGACTCTTTGTCAAATTAAAATCTATAACCCAGGTGTGGTGTCCCGACCTTTAATCCCGGCACTCAGGAGGTAGAAGCAGGAGGATCTCTGACATTGAGGCCAGCCTGGTCTACATAGAGAGTTTCAGGCCAGCTGGGGCTACAGGGAGACCCTATCTCAAACGGCCAAAAAATAAAAATAAAATAAAATATAAAGCTACAAAAAGGGACACTTGTGTAACATTCATGAAGCCGTGACTTCAATCTCACATATATACATATATGTTATATTACATAATGTGATTTTATCATGTATCTACTGATACGATTTTTCTTTAGAATATTTAGAATACAGAATACATTTACTGTGTTATTTCCCTCCAGAATTATGATCTAAATACCTTTAAAAGTCTTGAGGCTTCTTTGTTCTGTGGAGTCGGTCAGGTGTGTTCTTGGTCCCTTTTCCACCTGGGCACACTGCATCCCAGCTCTTATTCTCTGTTTCCCTGCTCTAATTTTGTCCATGTCACTTAGATGCCACTCTCTCCTAAACACTTGCTTTCCCATCCCAAACTCACATCATCATTACAGGGGTTTTGTAACTAAGTATGGAGCTGTAGGGCCTCTGCCAAGCCCCACTCATTTGCCGCTTAGCGGAGGAGTGCATTGTGGTTCTTAGCACTTGCTGAGGTGAACCTTTCAATGGAGGTAACTCAGGCACCACAGCTGGAAAGGCTCTCCACCCAATGTCATTCTGTTCTGTCTAACAGGAAAGCTGAGAAAATCATCAAATCACACAGAAACATTCACTAATGGTATCAACCTCAGCAATAAACGACAAATAAGAAAGACAAAGAAACCCAGCTTTTCAGCTATTACTATTCAGGTTTTGGCCCCTTATTGGATGGAACTGCGAGATGGGCCCCTGGGTCCTGTACTGTCTAGCAGGTTTCTGTGCTGGACCCTGCAGTTGGCTAATGTAAGTAGCCAGGAACAATATCCTTATACAAGCTGACAGTTTTACACCCTCAACATAGGAATTCTTTTTTTGTAGGTAAGGGAGGGAAAAATTAAAACTGCTTCTTTCAATTGATATATTGGGAAAACTTGTTTGAATAACTTTTGCAGGAGGTTTTAGTTGGGGTGCAGGAAGACCCCATTGGGCCCCTTTCTTCCCATTCCTGGTAGTTCTTCCAGGTCATTGCTCCATTTAGGGTCAAAGCAGGACACATGAGGTAGAAAAGGGTGCGTCTGTTAGGACTGTCATTAGGGCTTTGCTCTTTTGATGAATAAGTTTTCTACTAAGCCAATTAAGTCTTTTGAAATAGCATATGCACCAAACAATGAAGTCAAACCTGTTGGTTTATATCAAAAGCACATTGAAAGATTAAAAAGCACGTTTTAAATTATCTTTATATGATAAAGGCCCTGGAGTGGTGATAGTCACATATTATTAAAATATATGTTTTTAAATATTTTATTTATTATTTTTAGCGTATGAGTGTAATGCCTACATATGTGTAAGTACACATGTGTTGTGCAATGCCCACAGAGTTCAGAAGAGGGCGTTGGATCCCCTGGAACTGGAGTTATAGATGGTTGTTAGCTGCCATGTGGGTGCTGGGAAGTGAACCTGGGTCCTCTGCAAGAACAGACAGCGCTCTTAATCACTGAGCCACATCTCTAACCAGACCCAAGGTTATATTTTTTAGGTATATAGAAATAATTTGAGTAGAAACAAATGATAATAAAAGGCTTATCACAACATCCGCTTGATGCAATTTCATTGATAGTTTAAGGAAAAGTTGAGAGAAAATAACAGTGCTCAAAAAGATGTAGGTTTACTTTGTACTTACTGTATTTCATTGCCATAGAGAACAGAATGAAGAAAACTGGGTTTCTGTAGTAGAGACAGGAAAAAGTTAGATGAATTTTAGAGTGAAGATTATTACCTTTGGAGAGAGGCTTTCTGATGGAAGAGGAACCACTTTAGCAGTGGGATTGCATGAGAGGCGACCTCCTTCAATATTCATTTAAATGTAGAATGACTGTTTAGCCAAGTCGTGGAATGCTTCTGTTCTCTGCACTGTAAAATACAGAAAGTAGAAGCATAAAACTCCTTCCAGTTGGAAGAGCACACTTGCTTGGACAGAAAGGCTGAACAACTTGAGTGCTTAAAGCTTTCCCAGGTAGAGTTTCTTCCTGATGAAGTCTCAAAAATTTAAGTGCCTGTTAGGTTTGCATCTGGAATGTTCTCTGAAAACTCATGTTGGAGGCTTGGCTCCTGGTGCAGAATTGCTTGGGACCTTGGGAGGCAAGTGGATCATGAGAACTCTAGCCTCATGAATAGGTTAGCCTACTGATAGATTCATAGCTTGGGGAGTAGGAAAACCTTTAGGAAGTGAGGCCTACTTGAAGATAAAGTAGGTCATTGAGGGTGTGCTCTTGAAGGCTCTCTCTCTCTCTCTCTCTCTCTCTCTCTCTCTCTCTCTCTCCCCCCCTCTCTCTCCCTCTCCCTCTCTCCCTGCCCCCCCCCCGGCCTCCATATGATAAACAGCTTTGTTCTACAACATGCTCCCAGCCATGATGTTGTGGTTCATCACAAGTCCAGAAGACCATGAGTCAAAATAATCCTTTCCTTCTTCAGGCTGATTTATCTCCGGTGTTTTGTCACAGTACAGAAAGCTAATAAAAACACTACCTTAGACTGTGTTGCCCGACAGCTTCAGTGAGAACTTTGTTTTCTCTGCCTTTTGTAGAAACAAGGTTTCAGTTCTCACAGTTGTGGATCTGACACCCCACTAGAGTTATTTCCCAATCTCTCGACTGGGAAATGGCATATGTGCTCAGTCCTCAGCAGCTCTGGAGAGTTTTAGGGTGTGTGTCTTCAATACTGTGGGAGCTGACGTTTCCGCTGCTCCTTGGAGGAAACAGCAACTTCTGCTTGCCGTATGTTCACTTCACATTGCATGCCAGCTCGCATGCCATATCATGCCAGCCTGAAGTGAGTGTGTTCACCAGTCCTGTGTCAACATCACTCCTCTTGCAATCTAATTAATAATTAGCTATTTTCCTGCATCCCTTGAAAACAAATGTGAGAGCGAGTTTGTCATGTTTAGAAGGAATATACTTATCTTCTGGTATTTCTAAATGTACAGTAGCAAAGGGAGATTTGAAAATCTACAAAACATTGGTGAATCTGGCTAGACAGTCTGAAGGACTCTTTGCAATGCTTAGCACAGTTCTTTGACTTAATAATTATTTCCAAATAAAAAGTTAAAAAATTTCTTTCCTGACATAAATTGTAGGTTAGTCTCATCTGTCAATGGAATAAGAAATGAGCTACATGGTGAAAAAGTCCAGTGTTAAAGCCTACATCAAAATGATCTTCCCCTCCATTGGATCACTTAGTATGAATGAAGAATTGAGGAAAAGGTTCTCGGAGATGAATGACAAGTGTCAAGGAGGCTGATGACCCGAATTTCCCTTGCTACTTTATTCTACTAAGATTGGGCAGATGGTGAGTAGAGTCTGTGTTTTATTGGAATATAAGAAATTAGGGCCATTTTTCAATTTCAAAAGAAAAACTACAAAAGAAGTGACTAAACATCTTGGATATTTTTACTTTGAAGATCTCTCAGTGTAGGTCAAATTACTGCGTACAGAATCTTTGCGTTTTCTCTGAACTGACCTATGTTGAGGAATAATTAAGGTCACGGAAGTTTTAGAGAAAAACATATAAACTTATCTAGATGCTGCAATAAAATGGTATGAGTTCTTGATAGGTTATGAAAATGTGCTACTGTGAAATGGTAGAATCAAGAGAGGAAGCTTCAACTTAGTGCATTAGCATGGTACTTCAGCATCTTGAAGTTATTAACAGGTAGGTAGCTAGCTGTTTCCTGTCTTTGCTATAAAACTAGATCAAATTAAGAACACAGTTTTCATCTAAGTAATGAGGTAAAGTTGTGACTAATGAAATGTTAAATTTAATACTAAAATGGTATAGACACATGAAGGAAGAAATTAGAGTAAGAATATACTAGAATAATATCTTTGAAAGTGAAACCAAAGTTGTCACAACATTCCTGTCCTTGGAGAAACAGACAGGAGATGTGACTGACAGAGACTAGAGTAGTGAACTGGATTCTGGAGTCCCTGTGTTCTAATCCAGTAATAAGAAAATCTTCATGACCCTTGTACAGGTGCAAAGTGACTGAAAGAATGGCATATACTTGTTAACATGTAGCTATTTCTGACTAAAATTTATGCATGTATACACAGGCACACAAACATGTACTATATAGCCATACTTGATTTTGTGAAGAGACTTTGTGTTTTCTAAACCTGTCGGGTTTTTATTAAAAAATATAAAATAAAAAGGTACCAGAAACTGGTCCTTTCACTAGTGGAGATTTTATTCTAATTTAAATCATGACAAAGCTATGTCAGTAAACTCCTTATTGAAAACAGAATAAAACAGGCTTAGAGGAAAGGGAAGGAGTGAGGTGCATTGTGAATACTTACATGTTCCTATCCTTAGAATGAAACTATTTATTATGAATTAGGATTAAAAAGTAGCTTTTTCTCCTGGAGTTAAAAGTCTTCCTGGGTATTGCAAAGGAAGTAGGAAGGATGCATAGGTAGTGAGACTGTGTTCCAGTTGCCATATAACACTAAAATTTTTTATTATGCTCACATTCTGTGGCTATTTGGATGACAGTCTGTTTCTCCTGCATGGTGACTGGAGCCTCGGCTAGGATGGGTTGAACTGCTGGCCGCTGCTGGAGTGACCAGCCTCTGGAATGGCTGTAACAGCTGAAGGAGGCTGGCACCATGTGTTCTGTTGATGATCCCTTCAAACAGCTCTCTGGGCTTCTTTACAGCAGACCTGGAGGTTTCTAGGTAGTAAAGGTTCTTATGTAGCATTTGAAGTTTCTCAAAGCAAGAGTTCTAGAAGAAGGAAAACAGAATCTTTTTATCTTCTTAAACATTAGGCCCAGAAGAAACAAATCATGGCATCTGGCATGTTTTATGGGTTTAATCAACCAAAGACCAACCTCGATTAAATAATTCCACTCAAGAAATTATTTTATATGTGTGTTTTGTCTACATGTATGTGTGTGTGTGTTTGTGTGTGTGTGTGTGTGTGTGTGTATGTACCATGTGTGTGTGGTGCTTGCAGAAGCCAGAAAAGGGTGTCAGCTCCCTTGGAACAGGAGTTATGGATGGTTGTTAGCTGCCACATGGGCGCTGGGAACCCAACTTGGGTCCTCTGCAAGAGCAGCCAGTGCTATTAATGTCTGAGCCCAATTCCATTTTTTGATGGGAGAATGGCATACAGGTATCTAGAAGGGAGGGACTGATGGTGAAGACCTCAGAGATAAGCTGCTACAAGGTATTTTAAAAAATCAGTGTATATATTATATAAATACTTGTGTCATTTAAAAATACTTTTATTGAGCTTTTGTACATTTTACACAACAGCTCTTAATCAAATTTAGGCCCCTTCCCTCATCTATGCCCCACTCTTGACCTCATATATTCTCCCATACATGTTAAGTTTTATCCTGTCAAACATTTGTACCCATATGTCTTTCAGTGCAAGTTCATCTACTGGAGTCTAGTCAGCTCATCTGGAGATATTAAAGAAGGGCTACTCTTCCTCACCCAGCAGTGATCAGTTTCCAACATTTCCTAGGCCAGGGTCAGCCCATCGCCCATTGCCCTCACTCTACTCTGGGCTCTTGTCTGATTGAGTTGACATGGGTCTTGTGCTTGATGCCACCATTGCTGCAAGTTCACATGAACAAGCTTCAAATGGTCTGAACGCCTCTGCTTCTCTATGTTGATGGGCCAACCACGGCTCTTACAATCTTTCCACCCTCTCTTCTGAAATGGTCCCTGAACTGTGGGTAGGTTAGGTTTAATATAGAAGTCCTAATCAGGGATTCACTCTCTGCAGTCTCTTATTCTCTAAAACTTAGCTGGTTGTGACCTTCTTTCTGTGTGCATGACACTCTGTTGTATAAAGAAGTTTCACTGGTGAGAGTTGAGAGATACACCAATATTCTCTCTGCCCCCTGTTCTACTACTTTCCATGAACCTTACTTGTAGACATTCCATTGTAGATATGTCACCTAGGGCTTGGCATTTCTCAGATGTAAATTCTCTGTGTGTGACCAGTTGTGGAGCTCTGTAGTAGCCTTCATCTGTTGCAAAAAGAAGGTTCTTTGATGAGAGGTGCATGGTATACTTGTTTACAAATTTAAGGATCCATATGATAGGAAATTTCATTTGTCCAGAGACATGATAGAGATAGGGTTCCCTCTAGGAGCTGTGACCTCTTCAGCCATGTATGTTTGGTTATAATTACAATGCCACCCCTGAGTTCACTCCCATTGAGAGGGCTTTAAGAAAGCTGTTGATTAACCCCAGAGAACAGTGCCACTACTTCACCAATAGAGGTAATTTGTTGTGCCAGCCATTATGGTTATTAGGCTTTAGGACCGGGTTGGACCATTGATTGATTTTTCTCCCTTAGCAGCTTGCAGAGTATCCTCTAGAGCTGTAAGAGATAGCCTTGAGGAAGAAGACTCCCAGGACAGTTCGTGCACCTTTGCTCCAAATCCTTTGTCCAAAGTATGTCCTATCTTGAGCAGTAGGGTCTGACCTTGGAGTTCTGGGAAAAAACCAACAGCTCTGGGAATAGCCTGTGTTATTTTGGGAGACTCTTGGACTACTCTGACCAACCACTCAAAAGGAGGTCTTTCCTGCCTGGCACTGTGCTCCCTGCCATACAGCCCCAAGGTATACATATACATTAATGTTCAGACACTGGATATGTATTTCTCAGGGGGTTCCTGAGCCAACACATTTCCCTCTAGCTTTCCATGCCACCCAAACTCCATTCCATCTTTCCTCTCTCTCCCCCGCATCCAACCTCTTGAAGTGTGTAATTTTTTTTTTTTTTTTGGTCTTTTTGAGACAGGGTCTCCCTGTAGCCCCAGTTGTCCTGGAACTCCCTGTGTAGACCAGGCTGGCCTTGAACTCACAAAGATCCACCTGCCTCTGCCTCCCTAGTGCTGGGATTAAAGGAGCTGTCCTGGAACTCACTATGTAGACCAGACTGGCCTTGAACTCACAGAGATCCACCTGCCTCTGCCTCCCAAGTGCTGGGATTAAAGGTGTGCACCACCACGCCCGGCTAAAGTGTGTAGTTTTTAAAACAGGTGATGCTCTACTATTTTTATAGGTTAAAAGCTCCAGGGATTGAAATTGTATTTAATCATTCCAAGATACAGCTATGGCAAGGAGTTTCTGAATAGGAACTCAGTCTCTCAGGGAATAATGCTAACAATTGACAAATGGGACCCCATTAAATTAAAAATCTCTGTGCAGCAAAGGTAAAAGTTAACTGAGTGAAGAGACAGCCTTTGAGAGAAAACTTTTTGCTAGCTATACATCTGACAGAAGATTAATATGTAGAATATATAAAAAGCCTCCCTAAAAATAAGCAAGAAATCAAACAACTCAGTTAAAGCCTGGGTCTGTAGCTCAGTGGCAGAGTGCTTGCCTTAAATGTATGACACCATAGGTTCAATCCAGTACTGCAGCACTGCCAAAAAAAGAAAATAAATAAAATAAAAATAAGTGGATTAACAAAATAAACCGATCTCTAAAGATGATCCCAGCATTTGGGAGGTAGAGGCAGGTAGATTTCTGAGTTAAAAATCAGCTTGGTGTATATATTGAGTTCCAGGCCAACCAGTGAGACCCTATCTCAATGAACAAACGAACAACAATGACAAAACAGCTCTCTAAAGATAAAATACAAATGACGAATAAACATATGAAAAGACACTCATGCCACTAGCCACCAGCAAAATTCAAATTAAAACTAAGTTGAGATTCTGTCTACCCAGTTAGAAAGGCAGTTATTAAGAAAACATAACAGTAAATGGTGGCAAGGATGGGGGTAAAGAGAACCTTATACAAGATTGGTGAGAATGTAAACAGTCATTTTGTTAATCAGTGTGGAGGTTGCTCAAAAAATTAAAAAGATCTCCCAGGTGATTGATCATATCACTCCTAGGACTCAGAATATCACCCAAAGAATTACAAGTCAACATGCTACAGAGATACCTGCACATCAACATTACAGCACCTAAGCTCTGAAACCATCTTAGGTGTCTATCAACAGAGGCATGGATGATGAAATGTGGTACATATACACAATGGAATTTATTTTAGCCATAAAGAACGAATTTGTGTCATTTGTAGCAAAATGATGAACCTGAAGGCGATCTTTTAAGTATGTTAAGACAAACTCAGACAAATATTACATGATTTCTCTATCGGTTTCTAGATTTTATATAGATACATAAAATCACATTTGTGTATATGACATGAATGTAGAGGGGAAACTGTCTAGGGGAGCAAAGGGAGCTACCAGGAGGGGTGAGAAATGGGAGCGGTACATGCTCAGTGTACAGGGTACACTTGTGCAAAATGTCCTTA